AATATAATAATAGGCAGTCTTTAATACTGGTGAACCAACACAGACAAGATAAGACATGACCTGCACTTTTTTCTTTTGATCAAAACTCAAAAAAACCCCAACAAACAGCACTAAGTTTCCTTAATCTTATGCATTTTCTGTACCTGTGTGTTTCCATACAAAATATTTTTAGGTAAGTAAAAGGAATGCATTTTTCCCTAAGCACTTTAATGTTGAATACATTTTACCTATTGATAAGTCAAACTTTGAACCTGTCCTCCCCAGTGTGTACAATCAACTAGAAAGATGGAGGGAGAAACATTAGTACAGATATCGATATATCAGATGTTAAGAAGTATAGCTAAAGTGATAATGAAACCTTTAAGTGGCTTTTTTTTGCAGACGGGACATGATCGCATTTGGTGTTAAGGTTTCTTGCATTGAACCTGGGCTATTCAACACAAAACTAAGCAACCAAACAAAGGTTATCAAAGAAAGGGAGGCCATTTGGAATCAGCTTCCTCCTGCCATTAAAAAACAATATGGAGAGGGATATTTACAGGAAGGTAAGACATTTCCTGCTTATTTGTACTGAAAGGACAAATGTACTTGCTACTTCCAGAGACTGGAAAAATGACCCAGCCTCTTCTGGATAGAGTGACCACACTCTTTTGAAATTTGATGTTAGATGAGGGATGCTCAACCTCTGGCCAAATGCAGCCCACAAACTCATTGAATCTGGCCCCCAGGGCTCCCCACAAATCAGAAAAAACAGGCGGCAGGGTAGCAGTGGCCATTAATACTGCCATGCTCCCCCACTGCCAAATTCCCATGCCCATCCATTCCCCCACAGCATGATTTAGAGGCTGGGCTAGGCCTCATTCTCCCTGCATGGCTGAAATGGGGCCAGGCCATGCCACCCTCCCCCACATAGCTGAATTGGGGCTGGGCCACACCCCTTTCCCCCCCATGTGGCTGAATCAGGGCCAGGCTGCCCCCCTCCGCACAGCTGGATGGGGCCCCACTGTACCCACCCCAAGTGCCGGATTGGGGCTATAGGCCAGATCCAGCCCACAGACAGACTAGGCACTGCCCATCCAGCCTACCAGGGAAAAAAGTTGAACACCATAGGTGTTAGACTATAAGCTTACAGTGTTTATCCATGTCAAGGCGATGACTATGCACAAAAAAGCAAAGAATCATTATAGTTTATCTCCTCCCTGCGATATTTTGTTCTGCTTTCAGCTATTTTGAATTTTTAGTTTGGCACCAGGGCTTTAAACAAACACACAAAAGTGCACACCTTTTACCAGATGATACAATCACAAACTAGCAAGTGTTTTCTAAGATGTCATTAAAGCATGTATGGACAGTTGAATGCACATGCTTGGAGACCAATGCAGAATCAGGTAATCTGACGGATTACTGCTGCACCCAACTTGTCCTGCTGATCCTTGGACTTTCCCTGTCTCTCAAATCTCTTTGGTCAAATTGCAATTCAGATCTTCCTCCACATCAAACAGTGAGCCAGATTCACTGTCATGTCATACACCAGAAGCAATATAGATAGCAGGTAGATCTGTTACGTCTTTGGTTTAAATTCTGTCTGTTTCCTCTTTTGAGACAACGAGAAGATTAATTGATTTCCTATAGACAATATGGATCTGGTTTTACCACCACTGTTTATGTTAATAGTGTTTTACTCCACTAAGTGAAATAAAAGGGGCATTTATGCAGCAAATTACTATTCATTGACTGCTCTTCAGTGAAATGCTTTTCCTCTTTGTCTAGTGGGGAATCGGAAAGATCATTTGGCTCTGCCATTCTACAAATAAAAAAGGAAATAATACTTATAAGTATTGAGGGAGGGAAATAGAGTCAACTCTCCTCACCCCCAGGGCATGCCACTAAAATTTATTTCTCTGTGATTTTTACAGATGCAGCAAGGAAAGGGAAGCTGGTCAGGATGTCTATGAACACAGATCTCTCCTTGGTTGTTCAGTGCATGGAGCATGCTTTAACAAGCCTTCATCCTCGCACACGTTACCCTGTGGGCAGGGATGCTAAGTTTTTATGGATCCCTCTTTCAAACATGCCAGCAGCTATACAAGACTTTGTGCTCTTGAGAAACAAAGTTAAGCTTGCTGACACAAGTGCAGGGTAATGCTTTTCCCTTGTTTACACTTTCCAAGTTTACCTCGGGATGGCCTAGGCAACTGAACCAGTAAGAACCAGCCTTTTGTTTTAGCTTTATTCCTAAAGCATCTGAACCATGTCAGACATGCATTTGTTATAGCTATTAAATTTTTAGCTTGCCTATTTCTGAAACTTACTCTTCATCTAATAACATATTGTATCAACTTTTTAAATCTTGCGTCAAAACCGAAACAAAGAACAATGGAAGTGTTGCAAAGAAATCATACGATACTGCCTTTTTCACTGAAGCCAGGTTGACGTTTTAAATGCATAAAACTTTGCAAATTTGCCTTAAAATGCTAACTACAACCCTCACAATATTTTGTATATTATTTTTACTCAACCTACAAAATGTGAACTGGAAATAATAGAATTACCATTACATTTTTAGGGCCTAAATTTTTGGGTAATCAATTTATGAGTCCTTAAAAGGCAACGGATTTTCAGTTAGGTGTCTATGTCTTGCTTAAACTCTACTTTAGCTGTCACAGTTGCCACCTAACCCTGGAGGTACCAAAAGTTTTGAGGAAACTCCATTTTTTACATTAGAATTTGCCAAAGTGCCTAAAGTTATGCTTCTCGCAATACCTTGACATATCTTGGTCTTTCCAGTCCTAAACAGATTAGCACCTACCTCACATCTAAACCCTGTCAGGATTCACAAGCTAAGCATATCTCCAATTATGTTGCCTGAGGGGTAAATCTCATATGTGCTATCAAGAGTATACTTAAATCAGACTCCATGCAAAATATGCAGGAGCAGCAAGCCATGCTGCAGAGATAGCTGCACCCCTGCTCCTAGCTTCCTTCCCTGCCTACCAGTGCTGGCAGATCTTGCAGTGCGAGTCTCTATGGACTTTTTAAAGTCCCCAAAGCAGGTGAGAATCCCTTCCTACCCTCCCATGCTCAGAGGCAGATCCCCTCCTCTCCATTTGTCTGCCACTGCTGCTTTCTCTACTGTCTCAGGGCAGGCAAAGCCTGCCTGCTCCCTACACAGGGGCTAAGCTCAACTGAGTCACTGGCTATGGCAGGAGTGATGGGTCCCCA